TGTGTGTGTGTGTGTGTGTGTGTGTAAGAGGGAGAAAGAAGAGAGACAAACGCGGCGGGCAGGTTGTGTGTGTGTGTGTGAGTGGGTGGCCGCTTTACATATACGCATAGGACTTGGGGTGAGTGGCCCGCCCCCCTCTCATTGCATGTTCATGCCACTGGGCAGTCATGTGCCACTTTGTCCCTGTGTGAGTGCGGGCTGAGTGTGTGTCTGTGAGCGTTCCTGTCCAGGTACGGTGGCGCATGCGGAGGAGCAGGCAGTGAGTGTGGGAAATGGACAAGTGGGCAGGGGGGACTGGCTGGTTGTGGAGAAGCAGCACCTGGGGGCTCTACTCTGGAAGTGGGAGGTGGCTGTCATTGACCCAGTCTCTCCTCTGTGCCCCCCTACCCCCACCCCCACCAGGTGTAGTTTCTGGGGCCAGCCAGCTGCCCACCCTCTGCTTGCTGGGACCAGCAGGGCTCCATGTCAACTCAGAAAGCTTTTTGGGAATTGCAGGGTACTAGGCTTCAGCCAGCAGGAGCCAGAGGTGTCCTCAGGGCTGGGCCTACATTTCCCATAATGCTCCGGGGCAGGCAGCCTCAGTGTCCTGGGAGTCCTCTGGGTGTTTCCAGCCTGTGGTGCAGCCTGAGGAGGTAGAAGGAGAAGGCTCCCAGGGGTGTTGACTCAGTTAGCTCCTCCCCCTAGCAGAAGCCCCGGCACCCAGAGCTCGGGGTTCCTCCAGGGTGGGCATGACCCTGGGAGCCCTGGTTCTCCGTCCCCAGGCCCTGACTCATCTGTCTGTCTGTCGGATGAAGATGCCCCCTCTCAGGACATGGGCCAATGCAGGTGGGCCAAAGGATGTAACCTGTCAGCCTCCGTGCCAGATTCAGCCTAACTCCCACCGACCTGGCCTCCGCTAAGGGCCACAGTCACACCTGTGCCGTTGGCAGCAGCTTGGCTCTCCCTGACTGCAGGTCCCTGGGCGACTAGCACCTGACAGATGCCACCTAGATGATGGGACAGAGTCTGTGAGGTGCTAGTCGCCGGTCCCTTCCTGCCTTCCCCGTCTTCCTACTACTGGGACAGAACAGCAGGTCTGCCTCCCTCCTGGGGGCCTCGTCAGTGAGGGCCCCCTTCCCCCCCAACCAGTTCCCATGGTGGCCATGGAGGGAGCGCTCCGGCTGTCAGGGCCTGAGAGCTGAAGAAAGGCCCGAGGTGAGTGCTCTGCCCCGCCCTGACGCCAGCCCCCTTCCTGCCCTCGCCTCTCAGGAAACATGTTCCCCACCATTGGTGACGTCCACCTGGCCCCCTTCACCGACGAACAGCTCTACATGGAGCAGTTCACCAAGGCCAACTTCTGGTGAGTGCCTTCGTGTGGCCCCACTTCCTGTCTTCCTCCTCCTTCTTGAACTTGGCTGAGAGGAGCACCTATTGGGGGAGAGGGCAGGGCATGGCTAGCCCACCTGCCTCCCCTGCCACTTCTGACTGTCTTGTGGGGCTGGGGACTTTCTGCAGGTACCAGCCATCCTTCCACGGAGTGGACCTGTCTGCCCTCCGAGGAGCCGCTGTGGACGAGTATTTCCGGCAGCCAGTGGTGGTTAGTGGGGGCACCCGGGGCACGGTCACAGTTCTTCGCACTGGGCCTGGCTCCCCACTGGGGTGAGGGGAGGGGGGCATTCAATGTCTGGCTGCATCTGGGCCATGTGTCCTAGAGAAGTGACTGTCCTCAGCAGCCATCCTTTCTGCTGCTGCTCAGGGCTCTCTGCCAGACCTGTTAATGTGGGTGAAGCCCAGAGCACCCAGTGAGCATGCAGTACCTGTGATGATGATGATGGTTGGACTGACTGTTGGGGAACTGATCTCACTTGAGTGATTTTTGTACAATTTCGCCTAAGATAGTTCCCTGATCTTACTCGGTATCACTGATTGAGTCCGTCCTGACTCAGTGACCCAATAGGGCAGGGTGGAACTACCCCTGTGAGTTCCCGAGACCCCTGTTCCCGAGACCCCTCTTCACAGGGGTCGAAAGCCACATCTTGCTCCCGAGGAGCAGTGGGTTATTTTGAACTGCTGACCTTGCAGTTAGCAGCCCTGCACATAACCAGGGCTCCTTCACAGACTGGGTTATTGACACTTTTGAAGTGTTCTTTAGGTCCCTCTGCCCCTAATCACAGTTTCCTTCCTGTCACACGCACGAGCCTCGAGTTGATCCTGACCCCTGGTGACCCTGGACAGCTGCCCCGGGGTTCTGAGACCAGCTCCTAACGAGAGTCCCCGTCTTTGGCCAGAGGCATTCCCCGTAGCTGACCCAACATATCACCACTGCATTACTGGGCTCTGGACTCTTCCCTGCGGGCAGGCAGTGTTTCTGTCCCCTCATCTTTCAAGAGATTTTCTATCGGAACGTGCCTCTGTGTGTGTGTGTGCGTGCGTGTTTCCTCACAAAGTGTACCATAACTAACACTGTCTGAATTTCTGTTTCCAGCAACATACACAGCATCATTTTAATCTTTGGAAACTTGCTCTCTCGGGCTCACACGTGGCCCTCTTGGTGAATGTTTCATGTGTACCTAAAGAAACGCCCAGATCCCTGCGTGGAGCGCCGTGTTGCGTTAATGCTGCTTGAAGTCACATGGAGATATTTGGCAGGTCTTTTTGCTCCGCTTTCCTGTCGGTTGGCTTTGACAGTTGTTCCTTCACAGACTTGACCCCGCTACCAGGTGCATACAGACTTAAAGTTTCTACCTTTCGTTTGGAGCCTTTTTTTCCCTCCTTAAATGCTAGTTCAGCTCTACTGGCTTTCTCTTGCTTAATCTTTGTACCTCTGCGTTTTACTGTGGAATCGATGCCGACTCGTGGGGGCTCTATAGGATAGGGCAGGGCCTCCGACGTTGGAATCTTCACAGAAACAAAGTGCCACTTGGTTTTCCAGGAATCTGCCCCGTGTGGGCGCTCTGTGTACAGTGTTCTTTGTTCATCCTTCTGCTTTGCACGCTGTGTTCTCGTACTCCAGCCCTGTCGCTTGTAGGTAGCATTTAATGGAGTTTCTCTTGTAGTACTCCATTCTTTTTTTTTTTCACTTTTCATTAGACTACTTAGATCTTTTAGATTTATTGTAATTACTTATAAGCGTGTGTCAATTTTTTTTCAAAACCATTTCATTGGGCGCTAATACAGTTCAATCGCATCAAGCAGTGTTGTAGTTGCTACCACCCTCAGTTTGACAACATTCTCTTCCTTGAACTCGTTGACATTGGCTCCCTTTTATGCACAACCCTCACCACCACCACCCTTAGTCTACGTGCTGTCTATAGACTCATCAACCCTGGATTCCAGATACTGAAAAACATATAAGAATTCTAGAGGGTTACCCCCAGTGACAAAGCACAGCTCAGATAAACTCCTATATGAACAAGCAAAACAACACAAGACAACGTCGAAAGCCAGATCAGGCCAATGTGCATCAGAGGGGGACCAGCTGACAAAGTTTTAGCCATTCAAGTCAGGCTTACATGTGGATCTCCTGTAGTCATCTCTCCAGTCCACTGTTTGGTAGCCAGTTTCCCCCCGCCACTCTTCTGTGGACAGAGGAGATCACCGGAGGCTGATTTCCTATGTAGATCCCACAAATGGATCTTGGGCTCCCACTGTCATCCATAGCCGTGTGCAACCCGGAGTCTCAGAGCGTAGGCCCTGATACCGTTCCCTCCTTTGGCTTTGGAGTGTGACTCACAGTCACTGGTGTTGTGTGTACAAACCGTTTCCTTCCCTTTGTTCCTTTGTTTAATGGAACGCTTCACAAATGTGCATGCCGTCCTTGTGTGGGGGCCAGGCTGCTCATCTCCGTGTGTCCAGTGTTAGCATATGTGCTGCTGAGCGAGCACTGGTTCCGTGGTTTCCTCAGACATTTGCATAAGTACCACCGCCTTTTCTCTTTTCCCGGACTGTGCGGTGTCTAAAGTGTACCCTGTCCTTGCCTCGTTGTGGTTTATTAAGGTGTTTTTGGTTGTTCTGTTTCCGCCTCGATGCCTCGGATGGTGTCTCTGCTCCCGTTTGGCTCAGGTGCTTTTCCCGCCCTTTTTTGGCTCCTTGGCTCAGCCTCCTATCTCCTTCAGTTCCTGGATCCCTTCGCCATGTCCAGTCTGTTGTTCTCCCGTCTCGGGAAGTCTGTGATGGCTTCATTATCCCGGTTCTCTGTGCACACTTCAGTGTGCAGGAAGTGCTGTGTCTCGGGGGCTGGTCATTGCGTGCCAGTGGCATTTGTGTGGCCTCAAGGAAGACGGCGATGTCCCAGAGCTGCTTCTGCACCCAGTCGCTTCTGATGTATCCCCTCACCCATGAGGCGCTCTGAGAAGGACCACACTGGGGGAGCCGCTGAATCAGCGGGGAGCCTGCAACGGGCCCAGTGCGGGTGGGGGGCTTACCGGACAGCTGTCCACAGCTAACCCCATCCTTGGCCCCTCGGCCTCGGAGAAGCGGCTTCTGCT